AGCTTTAAACTATAAATGTTCAGCCCTTGTAATTTACTGCTTTAAAACAATTATTTACTGAGTTCTTTCAATATGCCAATATTATATCTTGGCAATTAAAAAATAAAGCAATCCCAGATCCCACGGGATTTAAAATCTTAACAGAAAGGGAGGCCGGCAAATGCCTAGTGCAGAGCTCTCCCCGCCTCTGCTCTCCCCTGCCCTCGTCCCTCACTATGTACAGAGTAAAGGCAATGATGTCAACCCAGTCCTACAGAGCCAAAGATGACAGAGGTGAGTCCTGAAGAATCAACTCAGTAAGGAGAAAGTGAAGAAGAAGTAAGAACTCTCGAGTGAAAGGAACAGGGCTAGGGAGAGACATCAGTGGACTAAGTGCCTGCTTTGGCAAGCACAGGGACCAGGGTCTGATCCCCTGTCCAGCATGCTGTGCCAGCCCCGCCCGCAGGGTACACTGAACTACGACCCAGTCGAGGCGTGATGGTGCGTGCTAGTTATCCTAGCACTGGGGAGGCTGAAAACAGGAGGATCACTATGAGTCTGAGCTGCATAGTGAGACCCTGTGCCAAATACATTAAAAATAAATAAAATGAAATGAAAGGAACAGGAAATACACCAGTCTCAAAGCTCGAAACTTCATGGAGCCTTGCAGAGTTGTTCTGGTGAAACACAACACTGAAAAGATCCTGAGACAATGAGGTTAATGAAAGATCAAAAGAGTTCCTGGACGTTACACTGAAGACCTAGAAATGTCTGGGACCACAAACATAAAACAAGGAGCTGGAAATCTTGCAAGTAATGGGTACCCCACTGCATGATCCCCAGAAAAATGACAGGATCAGATTTAAATTTCAAAAGCATTACTTCAGTTTCACTGTACAGAAGCAAGTACGACTCACAATTGGAGACATATGGCTAGGAGTTAGAGATATGTAATAGGTACAGTGGAGATGTTTTATTGATTGAGTGTAAGACAAAGAGAGGATGTGGCTTTCACACATACATAAATGCATGGTGGTACAACACTTTAATAAAAGAGGCAAATTGGGGGGGTTCCAATTTTGATTTTTTTTTTTTTTTTTTTTTTTGTCAATGGCTTTGGAGGACTAGGAGAACATTAGAAATTACGACTTTAATCTTTATTTTCTTTCTTCTGTATTTTATGGAAGGGTCTACAAGGTATTCAGGGTCTCATTACTAGATCAGATTCATAGTAATTTACCTGTGCACAGCCTCCTAAGAGCTGGGATTACAGGAGTGCACCAACAGGCCCAGTCTCAATAGCAGCCTCAGCATGCCCTGGGGGCAGGGATCCAACCCCCAGCCCCTGCTTGTAGGTGCTTTAATCTGTTGAGTTATTTGGCCGGCCCAATGGCTTTAATCTTTTTTTTTGTTTGTTTGTTTTTTGGTGCCTCAGGCTGCCTGAAGGGCAAGCCTGGTAAGGCAGGTGGAGCTGGGGATCGATGACTTTAATCTTAACTAGCTGAATTTTATGCATGGAGAGATCTCCAGTATGTAACTGAATATTTACGTCTAAGCTAAGCAGAAAGACTGAAGCTAGACACATATTAAGATACAGTATTTCATATAAGTTGAAGGTATCTGATGGAAAAGAGGATCAATAAAATTAAAAGTTATAAAACATAAAAGAATTAAAGAGAACACAGGGAACTGATACTTTTTGAATATTTTGTAGAAGTTAAAGAAATAAAATTAGGTCTTTTTAGAAAAGACTTAAAAAGCCAGGTGTAGTGGCACATGCCTGTAATCCCAGAACTTGAGAGGCTGAGGCAGAGGATCCTGGGAGTTCAAGACCAGCCTGGCTACAGGCTAGAAAGCTGCCAAGTTCAAGCCCAGCCTAGGGAATTAGGGAGAGCCTGTCTCTAAATTTAAAAAATAAAAAAAAGGGGGCCTGGGGACATAACTCAATGGGAAGAGCGTAGATTAAATTGCCAGCATCTGCTACGATGTCTCTCGGGTAGATAGATGGTTGTTCAAAAAGAAGGAGGTGGTGAATGAAAGCAAGAGACAGGAAAAGGAATGCTGTGGGACTGTCCTGCTTCAAGGTTGTATATGGTGAGATTTTTGGACTTATGTGTAAACATAAGAAGTATATAATTCTTTATGCCTATTTTAAAAATATATTCTAACTTTTAAATTTTTTATCATATTCTGTAGGGACTTAAAGTTCAACATATCAATACTTGATGAAAAATACCTCTTTCATGTTATGCCTAAGATGTTTGATATTCAGACAGATAGTGAGGTTAAGCTTAACAGCCTAGGTTGTATGGTAATAACAATAAGCTTGTCTTCTGGATGGTTAACAACCTAAATTTGCAGACCAAAATTAGAGAAAAAGGAGGGCCGCAAGGAAAGCCAATATTTTGGCCCTAGCCTTCCATGGTCAATTAAGACTCAGGACATATGAGAACTTGTACTGTAACATCATGTAACTCAGTAGTGTCCCAAATTTTCTGATCAAGGAGATTATGGGGCCAAAGAGGAAAGTGATTGATGATGTAGAGTGTGCCTAAGGAAAGTCACATGGGGAGAAAACATTCTTTCAGGCTTTCACAGAGAGCACATTAGCCAAGCAATGGCCGGGACTCATCCACAGGGCTGACACTGACAAAGGTTCTACAATCTGAGGTACAGGATCTCAGGATAAATCCTGAGGGGATTTCACTGACCTTATCAGACCCAAAAGCTACAACTCTTGTTGCATAGGTCTTGCTTTACCTTGGTCTTAACCATCCAGCAGAAAAGTATAAAAACGAAATATAAGAAGTAAAGCCATGCTGTTATGTTGAGCTGCAGGAGACTCAGGTCAAAATTTCTGACATTGCCAGTGAAGTGGAAGACCCAATACTATTATGGGCCTCTGTACTCTTTTAGAATATTAGAGGTGTTTACACACCTCTAATATTCAAATATTCAAATAATGGAACTTAACAAAAAAAGGGTATACAGATGAATGTCCCTTTTGTATCTGTGTATTCATAGTGGTTAGGACAGATATATAATTACATTCTCTTAATATAGTTACATTGTCTTAATGAATAGAGGGATTTGTTCTACTGCTGTCTGTAAATAGGATATCATGTCTGTATCTTGTACAGCAATTAACCACTAGGAAGAATGTATGCAATGTGTTAACTATTGAAACTGTCCTACCAATTTGATTTGAAACTGTCTCTTTGCCATTTGTTTCTCAATGAAATTATGGGGAAAAAATAAAATAAATTTAAAAAATATAAAAAATAAATTGCCAGCATCACAAAACAAATAAACAAACAATTATTTTTAAAAATTAAGACAGAAACGTACCTCTTCATCAGTTAAAATGTCATTATTAACTTTAATAATAGAAGGTTGAAAACAAAATAGGAAGGTTTGAGACAAAATGGAAAGAGAAACAGTACATGAAACAGAAGACAAAAGAGCTATCTGGGACAAGGACAAAAAGAATTCAAGGGAGATTTTCATGAGAAAGAGCAGAAAAATAATATTCTTAGGAAGCCTTCAGTTTATGAAAAAAATTGTATGTCTCAAAAAACAAAAGAAAATAACATAAAAATGACACGTCACAATACTAGTAAGCCCTCCTAACACTTAGTATCTATTACAGGGTAAAAGGTTAGCAATGGGAATAATCCAAGGAGCAGGAACAACTAGCAGAGAAGCAAAGCTACAAAAGTGAGAAAAGCCATTTAGACAAAGGTGTAGATGACATGTCAAAGCTAGTAAGAACAAGTTCAAGGAAAAGGTATACAGAGTTTTCAAATGTCCCAGCTTTATACTCTAGGACAGCCATCAGATATTGGATGAACACAGAAATGGAGCCAATACCTAACCTGATGCAAGAATAAAACTACACATCACTCCTGTCGGCAGCGTTTAGGAATACGTGTACCATCACGTGGCAGCCAGAGGTTGGAGACAGAGCACACTCTCAGAAGTTCATGCTGCCACTCAGTGTCCTTCTGTAAGAGGGTCTCAGTAATAAGGCAGCACGGAGCTATACTTTGCGTAGTCCAGAGCTCGGGGAAGCACTTCATAGTGTGGCTCCTGTCTGAGTGTGTTCTCTGCAGGTCCATGTGCTGGACGCTTGGGGCCCCATGGAGAGGGGAAGGCAACTAGGCTGCTTAATATATTTCTTTTAGACACTGGTTAGTTCCGGGAAGAGTAAGTTTCTTTTAGAATACAACAAAATTTAAACATCAAAAAAGCAGCACTCCTGGCCCCTGAATCCCAGAGATCCAGCTTCCTATCTTTCTTGTGAGCTCTCCTTCTTGCAGCCACTGCCTCCAAGATGCCATCCGCTATGACGCAGACAGGCAGACGTGAGCACCAGGCTCGTCACAGCCCAGCACACACGAGCACCAGGCTCCTGAGTGACATGGGGCACTTTTTCTTTATAAAATATCTGACCTCAGGTATTGTGTTATGGAAAAAAATGGACTAACAAGCATTAAATAATAGGAATTGCTTGAAAGGAGCATATAAGCAAAGTCTCTCTCAGAACCAGAGCAAAGAAGTCCCTAAATGCCTTTGATCTAAAGGAAACCAGTTTCTCTTGGCAGTCAATCACTTCTGCAAGATTCTTAGAGCGAGATTATGCAACAAATAGCTACTTTTTCCTAGGAAGATGACATATCCAGAAAATTACCAAAAAATACATGTGGGTGCAAAGCTACCCCTTTGGGCGAACTGCTCAGATTCTGATAAAAACCCTGGTTTTAACCCTATGCTGGTCTCAGTATGCAAACAACCTCATCTGGGCCCTTTCGAGATAATGCACAGTGACCATGTATATTGCTAGGGATTAAAAAACATTATAGGATGGAAAAGAATTTTCAGAAAAGCTGGGACTTTTTTTAGTGCAGTCTTCAGAGGAATTAATTGCTGACACCTACACAGGAAGCCTTCCATTTGGGGGGTTGACATCCTCTGTCACACCTATTTAAATTACATTAGAAACCAAAGTAAGCAGTCCTCACCTTAAGAGTTCTACCTGTAGAACAGGTAAGTTTCTTCTTTGACGTATTCTACAGGCTGCCTTCTGTGAATCGGAGGAGAACAACCAACTGCGATCATTTGAACACGGAGCATCGACTAACACCTAGAGGAGAAGGACAAGCAGTGCAGACGTATGCTTAAGAGAAGCTCTGGGGCCAGAGAGCTAGTCCAAGCAGAACATTTCTTTGGAGACTAAAAATACAACATGTTTAAGTTCCTTAAAATATGTACTCAATACTTAGCAGAAAAGTTCTGTATATAATTCCAGTATTTTTCTTGTTATTGTTGTCTGCTTTTTATGATACTGGAAATGAGCCTAAGGCTCTCACACTGGACTGCATCCATAGCTCTTTATGTTTTCGTTTGAGACAGTCTTGCTATGCCTTTAAATTACTCACGCTGGGCTCAAACTCTCCACCCTCTGCCTTAGCTTCCCAACGTTGTGATCACAAGCATGAGCCACCACGCCCAACACAGTGCTGGCTTTTGTTCTGATTGCAGGGAAGACAGCCGGGACGACTAGAGTCTACTGACGTCTGGCTCTCTCTCTTCTGAGGTGCTGGGCACTGAACTCAGGGCTTACGAACGCCAGGCAAACAGTCTACCCGTCTGCCCCAGCTTGAGCCCTTTGTTATCTGCACTGAAGACAAGGTCTCACCAGGTTACCTCAGGTGTCCTAGAATTTCCCATTCTCTTGCCTCAGTCTCTCAAACAGCTAAGCTTATACGTAGGTGCCACTATGGCTGGCTATGTCTATTAATGACATTGGATATTTTGACAACCACACCAAAAAGTAATTTCATTTTAAACTTTTTTTTGGGGGGTGGGTATTGGAACTCAAACTTAGAACCTTGTACTTGACTGGGTGGTCCTTATGCCATTGAGCTATATCCCCGGCCCCTCAGCATTTTTACGAACTAAAAACTCACTCATTTTAAGCAGCCAGTGCTCTATTCTGAATTATCAACATTTTTAGGAACTAGTATTTCAATTTCCAATTACAGAAATAACACCTTATTCTGTAACTGTCATTCTCTAATATGAAATGTTACAGAATTGAAGCAATCTAGTGCATGTTTCTGTGCTGACCTAAATAATAGCTGACCTTTTGCCAGGTATCTTTAAGGTATATGGAAACATAAACCATTCTATAAGTTTATAATCTCCAAACCAATGTTACTGCTTTCTCGGAATCATGTTGACCACTGAATGAAAACTGCTTCCAAGTTCACCTTATCAAGATTCCTAGCGTCCTGAGAAACTCTCTCTGGCTACATACAGGAGCAGAAGAAAAACAATAGCAGGGCAACACAACGGCGGTCATCTTGGGAATCTACCAGTTTGCCAAAACGTAATGAGAGTACCTTGTCAAATGTTTCAGGTCGAGCGTCACCCATTTCTCTGCCATCCAATTCAGATACTGTAATTATATTTCTCAGAGGCTGTGGGATGAAAGATTCTAATGTCTGCCTCAGCCATCTCAGTCTCAGACTATCGTATTCATTACAGTGAAGATAACCTAAATACAAAGGATTAAGAAGTTTCAAATGAAGGCAATGGACTTGTGAAATTTCTACTTTTTTAGTAAATGCGTTTCAAAAAAATCAGTTTACCATAATTATGCAGAAATAAGGCTTAGAGGTAAACACTGTAACTAATGCTTTCAAAATAAACATGCACACTGTGTGTGTGTGTGTGTGTGTGTGTGTGTGTGTGTGTAACATTTACAATGTCAGGCTCACACACCCTTCCAAAAGCTCTCATGTTTAGTCAGTGCAACTGCACTGCGAAAAGCACGCGACTTCTCACTGGGGAGCAGGGCCCGGGTGAACACAGGGCTTCACCTCGGAGCTCAGATCCTAGACCGCCACAGTGGCTCCCAAAAGCCCCTGTCCCCAGACCAGGGCTTCTCCACGGAGCCTCTTGGCCTGTAGGTCTCAAGTGGACAGCTGTAACCTGGTGGTACAGACTCACGACTCAGCGCACATCACTGCCAGAGAAGCCTGGTCCGCTGCACACCCTTTCCCTGCAGCTATGAGCTTTAGCTTGTAGCCTGGCTTAGTTTCAGCCTGGGCAACTAATACAGTGTCCTCCTCACTGCTCCCCAGCCGTGGATAGCACAGCAAGGATCAAGGCTCATGTCCCTGCGGCAAGACAGTAAAGTGAATGTAGGACTTGGTCTAAGAACTCAGTGCCAGGCTGGTGAAACCTCACACTAGGCACATTCTAACCATCCCTAGCACCAGGCCGGTGGCTGCAGAGAAAGCCTGTACACTGTCCGGGCACCACAGTTGATAGCCGGGCTGGTTATACTGGCCTTGGCCTCTGAGCCCACCTCAGCAGGAAATGGCCCTGTGCACTGTGTGCCTGTGCACTGTGCCCCTGTATCACGACTGTCTTGGTAAGATGTGGGCAACATCACTCAGAACTGCAGTGCTGGTGGCCACAGGACTGCCTGCCATAGCATGAGGCAGCAAAATATAGTGAGCGTTAATTGTGTGCTTGGGAAAGGCAAGAGAGGCCGCTGGGCACAGAGGCACACACCTGCGATCCCAGCATGTGGGGTGCTAAGGCAGGAAGACTGCCATGAGTTCAAGGCCAGCCTGACCTACATAGTGAGAGCCTATCTCAAAAAATCCAAATTAAAAAAGAGAGAGCTAGGCATTAAGTTTTGCATGGGAGCCTAGGGCCTCATCCTCTTTTGGGGCCTACAACCAAGAAGAATCCTGTGGGCTGAAACACAGGCCACAGATCAGGCATCTGAGCCTGCCCTGGCCCCAGAAGGATGGGATTCTAAGTTTATCCTGGAGAGCACATTGTACATAAGGTGGAAATGCAACAAAACTGGGCTTGGGGTGCCCCCTAGTGCTGAAATAGCACAAAGACCCATCTGCTCAGAGAAGCAACTGCATAGAACTGTCTAGAAGCGGGGACGGAAGGAAGCCAAATTATGAAGACTGGAAGAAACAGTCCAAAAATGCAAAAACTGCACCATACGCCAAGAAGCAAAAAGAACTTATGACCTCACCGAACATACAAAATAAGTCACTGGAAACCAAAAGTACAATAACCAGATCTGAGAACTCTTACACAGGAAACTAAAACTATTTGTTTCAGGGAAACTCAGTGAACTCCAAGAAAACTCAAATGATTCAACAGTATAGTGTACAAACTTACAAAGAGTTACAAATTGCTTGTTTCTGGTTGAGACAGGGTTTCATGATGTAGTTCCAACTGGCTTGAACTCCCTCTGTAGCCCAGGCTGGCTTCAAGCCTGTGTCTTGCCTTGGCCACCCGAGTGCTAGGATTACAGGTGTGCACCACCACAACCAGCTAAATAGATAGGGCTTAAAAAAAAAAAAAAAAAAAAAAAAAGCTAATCAAATTTTTAAATGCAACAAAAGGCATAAATAGAGCAAATCAAATAGAAAATAGGAATCTGTGAGATGGAAGACAGGGTTGGAAAATATAGCATTGGAGGAGGAAGTAGAATGAAAAGAAATAAAGAGTGCTTGGTGCTAGCACTGGAACAGCAAAACCCCTGAGATGCGGGCAAGCAGGTCTGTGCTGGACGCATGCTGCTCAGCCCCACGAGCAGGTGGGCCCATGCTGCAAGGTGGTGCCCGGCCCCAGGGCAGGCAGGCCTCGGTGAGCCCCAGGAGCTCTGCGCCACAGCCAGCCAGCAGGCCGGGCCTGCCCAGACCCCAGGCGCAGCCGGCAGGCGCACCAGTCCGCTTCCCCTTGGAGCACGGCAGCAGAGTCAAAGATTAGCCAATACACCTGCTCCTGGACGAGGAAGACACACGGGAGAGGGGGAAGCAGCGGCCC